GTACCAATAAAAACGCACAGTCGGTGCTAATGAGATTTTATGTCTCTTTATATTTTGTTATAATTCTGATAAGATATATATTATGATTTGTCATCAGGGTATCATGAAATACACCAATAAAAATGGTTACTGAGTGAACATTTTACCAACAATGTTTAACATGTTTCTTGTTACATTAAATTAATTCATTGCCGATTTTAAGTTAATATGTATTCAATTATAAATTAAGAAAAAAATAACCTTCCATCAAATTTTCAATTTAAATTAATTTTTACATTTCCCATAAAATTATGGTCTGAATTTGAAATAACCAGTTGTCAGGTGTGACCACGTGTGGATTGATATCTCTTACGTTAATATCCTGAAGATTGACAGCAAATACACCTGCATGGCCTGGTCAACGTTTTTACAAAAAACAAAAAATATAATACAAATTATCATCTTTATTGGAACTCAGGAGAATTAAATGTCTGTGTGTCATCATGAGACTGTTAATTTTATTGCCGATATTTAAAAAATGATTTTACCATTCCTTCTTAAAGCCACAACAGCTAATAGTAAAATTAATACTAATGAACATTAGGGAAAATTAACATTTCAAACCTAATTTTTTAAAAGAACTATTTTTTTTCTTTAAATAATTATAATTTATATTGAAAATGGAGACATTTTTAATTTTATTTTGAATGCAAATTTTCATTTGTAATAATTAGGTTTAATGTAAAATATTGTTAAATATTAAAGGAATTGAGTCTTTACCACAAACTATGATTCTTTAATCCCTATATCCTTCAAACCCAATGTCGTAGCCCTTAAATGTAAATTCTGTTAGATCAAATAGTCTAAGTATTAAATATCAAAGGTTTAGAGTATCAGGTTGCAAATATATACGGATTATAAAATTTTAGTTATTGGCAAAGACTCAATCCGTTTAAGTACGATTGATTTTTTTTTGTTATTTACACTAAAATATGTTTATTTTAAATAATTTGTGTAAATGTGCAGAATGCTGGAATTTTAGATTTTGTTTGATTTAACTTAGTTTCATTCATTTGCCTTAATATAGGTTCATTTGTTCTTAATTTGTTTTTACAAACACTTTTACCTTTAGTACAATTTAAATTTTTTGTTCATTCAGTAAACGAACATCCACATTATTATATGCACTTGTATTTATTGCTTTTAATTTTAGGTTAACCTAATTTTACTTTAAATTAATTTCAAAATCAAAATGGTACCCGGAGTAAAAAAAATGTCGGTTTTGCGATAATGTTGTAAATCAAACTTCATTGGGACGGCACATTGGTTAGTAATTATTATTAATTGTTCTTTAAACTTCTTTACATTTTTAAAAGTTGTGTTTCAACACATAAAAAAAATACTTAACCATGTTTTTTATCACATACTGTATATTGATTTTGTTATTTCTGAATGTTCTTTTGATATGATTCATTCGTCCACTTAGAGTTTATTAGGTTTTTTTTAAACAAAGAAATTGAGTCCTTGCCTAAAACTAAAAATTTCTAATCCCTATACCAATGTTCCTGATCGTGTAGATCTTAGATATTTAAAACTCAGATTATTTTATATAACAGAATTCATAGTTTGAAATATGTATGGTCTACGATATTGGATTGCCAAGATATAAGAAGCAGAAAATCACAGTTAGTGCGAAAGGCTCAAGTCCTTTGGACAACAAGTTCTTAATGTTTTAAGTGAAGATGTACAGTAAAATATATAGGACATTACAGATCATTCACTGGCAAAGCAACTCCTATCAATTTACTTGAATTTATGATTTAAATTTTTTTTTAAAGAAATTGCGTCTGTCCAACCTGATGGTGTAAACCTTTCATATTTGAAACTTTGATTATTTGATTTAAAAAAATTCATCGTTTAAATATCTAAGATATCCGACATTGGGTTATAAAGATATATGAATTAAAAAATCATAGTTTCAGGAAAAAATTAGTTTTTTAACTTCAGCTTTTCTTCATGGTCTGACCCTGTCTAAGGTTGGCCTGGCAAAGGCTAGAAGCAGGGAAATTGTTACTCAGTATGTTGATATCATTGGAATTTTTCCTTTGTCTCTTTATTTTTAATTAGAAATTAACAGCAATATTGTATCAACCATCGTTCTCAGACATGTAATATTGTTCAAAATTAAAAGTGTCCTAATTGCACAAATTGACTGTCTACAGTTCAACCGTGATAATCTTTGAATTAACACCGTGCTGGATTATACTGTTATTTTTACTGTTGTCATAAAATAGCTTCACTTCTATTTAGAAATGACTACGTAAGGATCAACCAGATTTGTTGCATCATATGCAAGAACACCTATAAAGAGAAAAGTAATCTAAAGAGGTAATATCTAAGATTTAAACGTAAGTGAAATGTTATTTCCTTCTCAAACGTGTCTACAGTTATTGGAAGTTTGTTTACACTGTTGCAAAGATTGGCGCCCACTGAATTACTGAACATTATAATTTAGATTAAATTTTGACAATTAATTCATATCATAAAAATAAAAATTAAATAAGATGCTTTAAAAAAATTTAATTTTAAAGGAATTGAGTCTTTGCCACAAATTATGCTTTTGAGAACTATATATTTTGGGATTCCAATAATTGAAACTATCAACCATGTTATAACAAATAATATAAGTTTGATATATCAAAGATTTACGACATTGGGTTCCAAACATAAGGGGATTATAAATTCAGAGTTTGTGGCAAAGACTTAATTCCTTTAGTTTATATAATAAAATTAACAGTGGTACACATTTATTATTATTAACTATGTAAGTGCTCTAAGGAAGCCAACTCAAACTATAGATATCTTAAGCAACCAAAGACATTCATTTCTCTTGTTCTTTAAAGGAATTGATTTTATGCAAGATATTTATATTTTCTAACCCCTTTATCTTTACAACCTGATGGTGAAAACCTTAGATATTTCAAACTTAGACTATTTGATCTAATAGAATTAATAGTTTGAAATATCAAAGGTCTATGAATAAGGATTGTTAAGTTATATGGAATTTTAAAATATAAGTTTGTGACTAAAAATCCATTCCTTTACCAAATAAACTCTAATGCAAAACGAATAATTGGTATTTGTGTTATGATGAAACATGCACACATACAACAATAACTCGTTCATATATACACATTTTTGCTTTTAGACACATTCAACTCAAACACTCTGCTGAAGCAGTTTTAGATGCTAATTCAATAGTAAGTTTATATCTATTATTTATTACCGAGTTACCCTCTAAGTATGAGAGTGAAAATTTCAAAACGTCCTTTAAAAATTATAGAAAAATAAATTTAGAAATACGATCTATAAGGAAATAAACAGTTTAAATTTTGTGCAGTTTTCTCTGAAGTCTCATACTTTGTTAATTCGGTAGCAGGACATGTAACAAACCAACAAGCACCTCAGTATCAACTCATAATAATGTTAATGTCTTCCTATCCACAATTAATATATCGAATCTCTGTCCCTATCAAAATAAATTGAGAATGATTTCAATGTCAAATGTATGATGTTCCTCTCACATTGTCTCCAAGCCATGTTCTAAGTGACTGTCATTGTTATTTAAAATGACCCCAAGGTTTCCAGATTCACGATGATAAAGAATTACAATTACAAAAAATATAATATAATTTCCTTATCTTCAAAACTATGTGGCGTAGACAAAAGATATTTCAAATCTTGACTATTTGATTATCAAAAATTCATGGTTTGAAATATTTCAAAGGCAGACAACAGCAGGTTGGATAGACATTGGGATTAGACAGTTTAGTTTGTTGTGAGGGGTTAGTTCCTTATATAAAAATATTTAAAACAATATTAAGATTAATAATAATTAAGATTAATCAAGACTAAAATAACACTAACCTTACGAGTCCCCACATGTT